ATTCCCAGCAGAGCTGCAAATGAATGCTGTTATGCGGTTCCTGGTGGATGGAACACAGACACCCAACTCGAAGGTGAAGGTGGCAATCCTGACATTTCTTACTCAGCTTGCCACATGCATGGAGGCATCGGCATTTGGCCCTGTGATCATCTCAGGCCGAGACTGCACACCTGTTGCCCTTTCTAAGATAATTGGGTGGACTAGTGATGCCAAGTCCAGTGAGATCAGAAGAGCGGCTCAGGCGGCCGTTATAGCACTGTTCAACCTCAACACACCTCAGTTCACAATGATACTGGCAGGCCTACCAACTGACTACCAGGTGAAGTTCTATGTCAGGCTAGCAGTCCAATAAGAAGACAGCAAAGTGTCTCAAAGCACTGGAAAGAAATTTGGAAATTATTTTGAAAATGAACAGATGACAATTTCATGTACTAAATTGTTCTGCTGTTGCAGGAGGCTGCAGCGACACTGGTACATAGTCATCTTCGCAGAAGTAGCAGTGGCAGTGGGAGTTCTCCTCCGTCACCATCAGTTCCATCATCTCATGTCACGTCCTCGCCTCGCTTGCAGTCACCTGGATGCACCACACCCCAACAGCTGCAGCCGCGAGGATCCTTGCGTGGCAACTCCATTGGAAACCTTGATGATGACAACTTGAACCCAGAAGAAGTGTACAGGTAAGTGATGCTAGTAAATGTGAACTATTTATTGTTTATTTACATGCAACATGACTGGTATCTATTGGTTCATTTAACCTTCTGTGAACTTCACTTGAGGATAATGTAATACTCGATGTTATGAGTGCCAAATTTGATGCGTCCCTATGTAGAGAATGGGGAAACCTTTATTCTTATTCGTATTAAACTTTATTATAAGCATTGTGCATATTTTAAAATGAAACTTGGGTTGCGATGTCTTGATGTCTGTATGCTTCTGAAAGCTTTGAACTGAAAAAACTTTCATTGGAGCATACCCTCAGTTTCTTCTAAAGATCACAAAATTACAGTTAGAAAGTGCATGTTTGTTTTCTTTGAATCTGAAACAGATATTTTCCAGATCATTTTCATTACATAATGGTTATATAAATAAATTTTTATTTTGAAGTTTTCGCTGTCCATTGGCTGTGCTACGTTAATGCTACACTTGCATATGGTAGGGCAGTTACTAATATTCCTTGCCCCTAGAACTCTTCCCCCATCCCCACAATTTAGAAATGTTTTTATGTTTCTTAGTTTACTTGTTAAATGAAGTGTTCACAGCACTTGTTGCTTTCCAGGAATTCTTCATTCAGATCATACAGGAGTAGTATATTGCCCTAAACATTTCTACACTTGAAAGTACACACGTACCTCACTTAGTGACACGTTCCTCTTGAAGCGAACAACAATTTTCCATGTGTCCTCGTGTTATAATATTAATTTATAAATTTTTAATTTCTGGAAGAATGCTACACATTCTTGAAACTGAATTAAACATCTCATTTACTGGTAATTCTTATGATATTATAAATATTTTTACTGCTGGAACATACTGCATCTTCACATGATAAGTATGTTGTGCCCCATTTTAAAGGATTTGTGCTGTTGAAAACAAATGTTTGTAAAGTAAGAGTGTTTACTGGATTGTTGTAAATAAATTTCACTCTGAAAATTATTGTATAGCCTGAACTCTTTCTCGTGTACAGTTGTTACTGAAAGATAATTCTGTCTGCATGCTGTAAGATTTGACACACTGACGTATTTGTATATTTAAAGGAAGATGAGGCAGTAGATGTATAATTTTTGTGCGGCCCCCAGTTTTGCACATCCCATCTTTTTCGGTTTTATTGTTAAAGACAAATGATTTCTTTTTAGCGCATTTAGACTCGAACAATTTGGGGAAGTGAACATTGCTCACATTATGCAGACTAGACGTATGCAGTTATGATGAATTGTTTCAGATTTTGAAAGTTTAAACTTAAAAGGGCAGGGAGGATGAGTAGAGTAGTGATGCGCACATGTGACTGCACTTGCACTTTTGGAGCGGTATAACCTTCACATATACCAAAACCTCCTACTTCTGTTGTGGTTAAAATATTTTATTGTTAAGAAAACATAATGAACTATACCAAAACCTCCTACTTCTGTTGTGATTAAAATATTTTATTGTTAAAAAAACAAAACGAAGCCATGATAAAAATAAAGAGGATAATGGTACACTGCTTTTAGTTTGCTGTACCATTGAGAGATTTAGAAAGTCGCATCCAGGTTTTAGCAGGTTTATAAAATAAAGTCTTGCTCTGAAGAATAATGTTTACTGATGCAATAAATATTTCAGTCATAAAGTTATGTGTGACTAATCCTTAGACTAATAATAGTGCATTCTCTTGGAAATAGGGATCACATTTTTTGGAATTACTTTGATGAATAGTGATGTATGCAGTTATTCTTGGATAAACCTGTTGAAGTCAGAACAGCAAAATCCGCACAGAATGAATTGTGGACTGTGAAAGCCCTAAAAAGAGTGCATGAGATGTTTTGGAATATGTGAAAGCACTTTGCAGTGCAGTATTGAAGGAAAAAATAATTATTAGTTGAGTACTTTCTGTTTTTGTGCTGTTCAAGTTGCAGTAATTTGAGCTGTATCAAAGCAGCTGTCTGTTCTTGTGAGTAAACACATTTCAATTTCATGGCAGGACATCATTAAACTATAAAAGATTCTGTCACTCGTATATTACTAATCTGTTTCTGTCCTCAGATTAAAAGGTTTGGAGTACCTGTTCAGTTTACCCCGTTACAAACAGCTAATCTCATGCCAATGGACCAAACTGAGTACATACTCCCTACCCTTTTATTTGAGGATAGAAATAGATCCAGTTTCAGAATACCATAAGATGAACAAAGTCACCGGTAATAGCAATATCATTACAGTAGCTGGCCGGACTCATTTTGTTCAAAATATCGGTAGATTTGTGTCCCGAACGGTGAATAGCTGCAGTAACTATGTATTGTGTGGGGGTGCATGGCTGGTGGTCGCTGCACCATCATGTTTTGCCTTGAATTGAAGTATTGTTGTTTCTCTCCCAACAGCGAGCGCTGGTAAGTATCTCCATCTCTTTGTTGTATCTCTCTGCATCCGCTCACTGCACCAGTGGAGTAAAATTAAGCGTCAGAAATGGCAGGACTTCTTCGTTATATTTTATGGATTGGGTTTTGTGGCCCAAAAATACTTCTGAAATTATGAATAGGATTCCTTGGATGTGGGGGAGAGTCAGCCTGATGCCACTATGATTGAAAAATGTGTGACTTCTGGACTGTAAAAAATGAACATTTCTTTTTTTTCAACTAATAGTATAAGCAGACCACAGTCTAAATGAAAATAAGTTTTGAGAAGAACTTCGGGCACTTTCCTTCACGTGTTTCTCTCTGTGCTGTGAGGATTGTAGTTTTGTGTTACAGAGAACACATCTGAGAGGTGAAATTATTTCCCTCTGAGTTGAACATGGACTTTCAGAAGTCTTGATCATGTCAGATCCTCTCATTTCTCGTATATCTGTTACACGTTTTTATTTCAAAGTAAAATGTCTCTGAAAAAAGAGGTTTTGTGAAACATGTTTTTAGGCTGAAAATTTGAAGAAGAAAAGTGAGCCGATTTAAGAAGAAAGGATCAGTTGCCAGTGAGGAACTGATGTGCTCACACTGCCTGATGAAAAGTGTGGTTATGTGTTGCGAGCATTCTTCCTTAACAGAGAAACTTTGGGTATCATTACTTGGCATAACTGCTGGGTGTTACCCACTGGTGCAGTCACATTCCTTGCATATGACATCACAGTGAGCTGAGCGTAGGACATGTGAAAACATGCATTTGGGAAGATATTGTTAGTTGTTCCCAAAATTAGTATGTTTCTGTGTGCCTTATTATGTAAGCAATCTGATTGTTGTGTTGTGGTGTGAACACAGTTCTTGCATTCTTGTGGATGCTGTTTTTCAGGACGTAGTTTCCAAGGTCACAGTTTTCTTCGCTGTGTTATCTGTCTGGTTCTGTTATGTGACTTGTTTGAATGTTTCAGTTTTATTTAAATTTTGTTATGAAAGAGTAAGAGTAAAAATGTGAGTGATCAACTGGAAACCATGGCAGTTGCAACTGCGGACATTACAAAGTGTATTTAAAGCTGCAGATGCATGTCACTGTTCTTTGTTTGCTTGAAGTATGGTTTATGTAGTTATTTGGTAGCGATTAATGCAACATTGGACTGAATTCAGAAGATTTTGACCTTATTGTATGGTAATATTGCATTTAAACTCCTTTATTATGGAACTTTCAGCCTGACCTTTAACTCCTTAACTCTGGAGTTTGTTGGTTGAGTAATATGTGCTACAGTGCATGGCCATTTAGACTGCATGTAAGCTGTAAGACACCTCCAATAAAAGTTTATGCCAGATGTTGATGACCTTTGATGCCAAACTGACTGCCTGGCTAACATGATCTGTTTTCGCTAGCTCAGACACGCAGCCTGTGTGCGTGCCTTTGCATTTAGTACATATGCAGGGCATGCGGAGCAACAGACTCTTGAAACAAGGTGTAGTTGTCGGCTAGTTAGGTTGTTTTATAAACTCTTATTTTCTGCTGTCATCTTTGTTTTCATTTTCAGGGATGTAGAATCAGTAGGTTACAAAGCGTTTGGGTTGAAATTGTGTTACATAAAATTTCAGTGGGCCTTGAAAATTTGTTACAGAAAAAATTGGAAGGGTTCTGTAGGTGAAAATATGTGTTATATGAAGATTAAATGTGGAATGACGAAAGTAGATGACATGATTTTCTGATTTTTTTCTCTTCATCCTGTTGTCATTGGTCTATCCCACAATCAGCACATCATATTATGGTCTTTGTTGTTCCTCATCCATTGTTATTATATGAGGCCGTGCTCTCTAACTTGTTTTCCAGAATATCATCATTTAAAATGGCATTATCCAGGGTCTGCTCTATGACGTGAGTCAGTATGCTTTTTGCTCCACTATCCTGTACAGTAGTTTACTCAGGACGTAAAAATTAAACCACATTTTAAGCGAGACATTTTGATTTTTGAGCTTAAAAGAATCATCTGCCACATTAAACTGTAACACTGTTTTTACTGTGCAGGTCTTTGCGTCGCACAACAGCTGAGATTCAAAACTACAGCTTTGAGGCTCTTGGTTCTGGCAAATTGCTGGACCGTGACCGAGACACGACCTCTCAGGACTCTGGCATCAGTCAAATGTCAGCTGGGGCCGGAGACAAGATGGACACATTAGAGGAACACATGGAGGACGTGTCCGTTACCAGGGACAACTCGGTTAGTCACATGTTGGCTGGGAACAGAAACAAGATGAATGTTCTAGCTCTTGTCCCGAACTCTTTAAGTGCTCCCTTGATTTGAATAAAGGCATTTGAGCACACCTTCCAACCTATAGAAATGTTTTAAAGCATTTGTAATTTGACACGGCCTTCTTCCTTGTCAATTTTTATGTATCATAATTAGTCTTGTAAGAAAAACGTAATGTTCCCCTGTGGTGTGGCTCTCCCTTTTGTAAGGTGATGTTAATCGCCCACTGACTTTGGTTATCCAGTGATTGACGTTGGCTTTCTTTGATGACCAAGCTGAGTGGGTATTCCCCACCTTCTTGTTTGAGGAGGGAAATAGATTCACTTTCTGAAAGTTCTGTTCTGTTCCGAATATCAAATAATTGACAAAGTCCACACACCCAGTAATATTAATTTACTTCCAGTTTTTAAATAATTGCCCATAGAATCTCACAAAAATGTTGGTAAACTTCAGTCATGATTTGGAGTCATAGAATATGCAAAAATATATGTTTTCAGGACTTTCCTGCTTTGATATTAACCCATTGTGCTCCAATTTGGAATTGATTTGTGAGCACAGTTAAAAGTTCAAGTAGGTACTATGTGATTCTGATTGTATCTTTTCAAGTTAGTCTGTCCATTTGTATTTAATGCCTCATAACACAGCCCATTTTCTTAATTGTTTGTATTTTTTAATGTCATATTAAGACATGTCTCTTGGGTTGTTATGCCATGTAGTCTGACAGAAGTTTACTACATTTCAAATGCAGGAGGCAGCTCTGAAATGTCAGCAAACTTCTAGCAGACTACATGACATAACAACCCAGGGGACATTGATCTTTATACTCGCCACCATAAGAACCTGAAATTTAACTCAAACTGTAAATTACTGCCGTATTTCAGGGCCGATCGTCATCACTGTCGTCACCAACACACCGCCTCAACTCACTGCGGGACTATAACGGAATTGAAAAGTCTATGGCAGAGATCTCGCTGGATGGAGACAACGGCTTCATTCCTCATGGTAACTATTGTACTACATTGTACTTTCGTTGCCTGTTCACAATTGAGCCTCTTCAGCTTTTGTCATTCCAGAAACATGTTTCAGAGAGTCACCACCAGGAGGAGAGTGAAGAAGTTAGGAAGGTGATTGATGCTTTGCGGGTAGCAGAACAGAGTGGAGGAAGTCCAGGGTGCGAAGGAACAGAAGCAGAGCGTAAGGCAGTGCTGATGCAACTTATTCGCCTCATCAGGGAGTGTAGCACCCTCGTTGTTATGGAGAACTTCAAGTGAGTACTAATATTACCAGGGGTCATGAGTTGAGATCATTATATTGTTCCTTAAGATCATTTTATTCAGCATCTTTAATATTATTCTTATCATATTTTCATTCTGTCCAGTTCTGTGGCTCAGAATTGTGGAAATGAGGAGCTGATGATAATGCTGATAGGTTGGGGAAGTGCGTAGAAAATGATGATGTTCTTTTTTCTGGTTCGTGATGCTACGTGGACTTTTAGGTAGATAACGAGTGTGTGGGAGACAGTATGTTTCTGTGAGAGATTGGTATCTTCCTACAAGTCGAGTAGTTGAGTAGAGAAGTTGAGTAAATTCACTAAATCAGATCTATTGTTGCAGGACTTTGTTGAGGGTTTTGCTGGACCAGCTGACGAAGCCAGAGGGGTCAGTGCGTGCACTGGCTCTTACTGTGCTGGCAGAAATGTTGAAGAAGCCCTCTATTGGTGCCTGCTTCCATAACTATACAGAGCTGCTTTTGCTCAAAGTGCTACAGTCTCACAAGGACAGCAGTAAGGAGGTAATTTTGCTTACATACTAAGTGATTGACTTTGATGTGTGTTATTTGATGGAAATTAGCAATAAATTGTACGCACATTATTCTAAGAAATCATACATCTAATTACCATAGTATGACCTGTCATAGTTGGTGGAAACAAACCTCATTTTGCTCAACAGTGATATAATTTATATATTAACTTAAACATAAAAACATTTTCATAGTGACTGAAGCCAGATTCCCCCCAAAACTTGCACACTGCCAGAACACACTCTTACCTTGTCAGCATTTTTTGCTACCAGGGTTTCCACCATCAGGACTTACTTTAAAAAAATTTCTGCATTGCACGAATGGCACACTTAAACAGTCAAGTGTCATAGATGGACATGGACTGTTATACTAGGAGCAGATACCAAATTGTCTTCCATAAAATGGGAGTAAAACTTTTCCTTGTGCTACTTAGTTTTTCTCTAGCAGAATAATTTCATTTTGTGCTTCAGAATGTACTTTGTATCTTTTGTGTTGTGACAGGTACTGAGAAGTGCAGAGGCGTGCGCAGCCACAATGGGAACAGTGCTGCCTCCTGATGTTGTGATCCGAGTACTTAACCCACTCATTACAACGGGAGAATACCCAGTGAACCAGGGAGCTATTAAAATGCTCACAAAATTGGTTGAACAGAAGAGCAAGGAGGTTATGGAACCACACCTTGCTGATATCATGCCAGGACTCATCAAGGTGAGCTGATACAGTGAATTTCACTTTGGAGGAGAATAGCTCATACTGCCAAAATCTCATTTCTTAGATATATAACAAATTTCTCGTTGTGTTACAATTACATTGAGCTTAGACTGATCAGCTGTATGTATGACATGATCTTGTCGTCATAGCAGATTATGATAATAACATTTAGTCCCTGGATCCTGAATTTTTGCGCCACACTTCATTGGTGACAGGTTAGCTTCTTAATTTTATGGAAGTTTGAGTTTGAATGTAAGATTTGAGGTTTTCACAGCGGTGAGTATGAAGATTTCTGTCTTCTGGGTT